ACCTTTTAGTCCACAGGCCGACGCTCTATCCACTGAGCCAAACCAGTTAGGGCAAAATATATATTTTTAAATCTTCCTATAAAATTGTTCTGTCCTTAACCCAGTTAAATTGCATTATGTGGGAAGAGAATAATTTGCTAATGATCTCTACAAAAAGAAGAAAGAAGATACGTTCTGCATTTGGGGAACCTTTTTATCTTTTATTTCTATTTTTTTAAATATGTTTTTGTTGAGTTCAGAGAGAGGAAGGGAGAGGGAGAGGGAGAGAGATAGAAACATCAATGAGCCCAGCCGGCATGGCTCAAGTGGTTGAGCATAGACCTATGAACCGGGAAGTCACGGTTCGATTCCTGGTCAGGGCACATGCCTGGGTTGTGGGCTCAATCCCCAGTGTAGGGTGTGCAAGAGATAGCCAATCAGTGATTCTCTCATCTATGATGTTTCTGTTTCTCTCTTCTTCTCCCTTCCTCTCTGAAATTAATAAAGATTAAAAAAAATTTTTTTAAAGAAACATCAATGATGAGAGAGAGAACCATCTTAGCTGCCTCCCAGATGCCCCCCATTGGGGATCGAGCCCACAACCTGGGCATGTGCCCCGACCTGAAACCCAGCAGTGACCTAGTTCATAAGTCAACGCTCAACCACTGAGCGATGAGCTGGGCATTGGGAAATCTTTTTAAAGATGCATACTATTTTACTCTGCAAAAGAAAAGTTCTGTTTGTCACCTTTTTACCTCATTTAACCTTTTCCCAACCAAAATCAGTATATAAAAGGTTCAGAAATATGCAGTGTTTAGTTTTAGAGCAATAGGCTTAATATTTCACTCACAGAATTAACAAAGCTTTTAAACTTAGCATTCTGAGGAGAAAGATTCCAAGGCATTTCACAAACTGAAGAAGACTTCAGGAACTGTACTCATCGACTAGGGATGTGTGTTCCCTTTGAGTAGTATTTGATCTGAGTTTGTGCCTTTACTTCTGAGTTTGTGCCTTAACTTGAGATGGTAGTGCTATCGGCCTTGGCTATCTTGCCTGGATATGCAAATCAGGAAGAGACCAGACACCTGGGCATGGCACAGTATTGAAAGGTGATACGGGTTCGTGAGTGTATATTCAGCTTTGGAGGCATGTTTTAGACACTGATACTTATCTTATCTCACAAGACCAGATCACAAGCAAGCCAAAGATGGTACTTTGTACAAGCCTTCATTATAGATAGTCCTTCTCACATTGCATTGTAATTATTCTTTTACCTGGTGGTTTTTCCTACCTGGAGGAGAACTCCAGGGAGCATGCACAGAGAGCATGTCTAAATGTTGGACACATGAAATGTCTAGTTCAACCTTGTTATAATCCAAAACTCTTTGGTCATATTCAAATCTGGGTTAACTTGATTTTTTTTCACCAATTAAAAGTTGATCACTAGTTAACACTAGTGTTTAACAACTGTAAAGTAGATGACTATTCTGCACTTTCTAGAGGGGACATAATTATGAAACCTATTTAAAATTATATCAAAATTTGGGGATTGGTTTTTTATTTATGTTCACAATGATATGTTTTGGATGTTAATCAAAATATCATAGTGTCTTAACTCTTTTGCTTTGTTTTGTTTTGTTTTTTGTTAATTCTCATCCAAGGATATTTTCCATTGATTTTTAGAGATAGTGGAAGGGAAGAAGAGGGAGAGAGAGAGAAACGTCAATGTGAGAGAGACACATGCATCGGTTGCCTCCCGCACGCGCACAGGGCCTGGGATCTACCTGCGACCCAGGTAGTGCCCCTAACCCAGAATCAAACTCGAGACCTTTTGGTGTGCGGGCCGACACTCTACCATTGAGCCACACGGGCCAGGGCCTTAAGATATGAAAACACAAATTAAGGAAAGAATATTTCTCTGGTCACTGATATAGTAAATTAAATGAATAAGACACGTTTGATTTTTGGATTGTCTTGTATTGCCCTAAAGCATTATTTTGACTTCTTAACTATTAGTCAAAAGCTACTTGTGGTAGTCAGTTTGGAGTTTGCTCATTCTGAGTAATAGTTTTTTTATTTTTTAAAAATGAAATATATTATTGAGATTAGTGTAGAATATATATTATACTGTATATTAAACTATGTTTCAGTATATATCAAATTGCTATTTAAAATTAGTTTCAGAAAATATATGTAAGAGAAAATTCACTGAGAAAAATTTATACTAAAATAAAGAAATATTCTCGCCCTAGCCAGTTTGGCTCAGTGGATAGAGCACCGGACTGAGGACTGAAGGTTTCTGGGTTCCAGTCTGGTCAAAGGCATGTACCTTGGTTGCAGGCTCCTACCTGGCCCAGGCCCAGGCCCTGGTCAGGGCTTGTGCAGGAGGCAACCAATTTATGTGCTTCTCTCATATCGGTATTAATCTCTGTCTTTCCCTCTTTCTTCTACTCTTTCTAAAAATCAGTGGAAAAATATCCTCGGTTGAAGATATAAAAACAAAATAATAATAAAATCAGTAAAAACCTTTTTAAAAAAGGAATGTTCTATACAAAAGAGTGATTTCTTTATAAACTTAGGAGGTGGCTTAGTAAAGTACGGCCTGTCTCTACCTCTCACTAGTTATGAGGCTTTAAATAAGTCTGTTAGTATCTCTGGGGTGTTTCTTCATTTTTAAAAGGATAGGGTCAGCTGAGATAATATGTGTAAAAGTAATCTATAAACTTTAAGAGACTATGCAAATGAATTATGGATTTCATTAATAGCCTTAGTAGGTTTGATAGCTGATTCTGTATTTTTTTTGTTACTATCAAAGGATTGGTTTAGAAAACATTAGAGTGGAAGGTATATTTGGGCATGAGAAATAACTATTAAGCTTTTCATATATCTACAGAGTTCATATGCAGAACAGACTTTTTTGTCATTTATAAAATAAAACTTCAAAAAAAGGTGGAACAGGTTGTGTTAGACTCTCCCTAGTGTTTTTTTTTTTTTCAGTTTTATTGAGGTATAATTGACATATAATGTTTTTTTCTTTTGTTTTTCAGAATAGATCCAGACCAAGAATACATTTTAGCTTTGTGCTAGATCCTTTGTATTCTTACAGACCCCTTTTTCACATGCTTAGTAAGTGTCTCTCTGATTCTTTATTAGATTTTTGCCTTTTGAAATATTTAAGGCCCTTTTGTTAATTTTGAAGACTTTTTCTTAATATCTCTACAATTCTTTTTAAAATATA